TGGTATCTGCTTTGTTGACTTCATCATCATCATCATCACCGCCACTACCAGGGCCACATTTGATTGATGGTGAAGGAGAGGAGGAGGCAGAAGATAATGCCGATGAGGGTAGTTGTAGTGGTGAAGGTGATGGTGTGCACTGCTGCCAATCAAACAGATGATCAGGGAAAGCCATTACTTTTGCTTGATAAGGTGCTTGAAGAGGGATAAAAAGAAGAAAAAGAAGAAGTTTTGTCTATTAGACTTCTTGTTGTGTTTTGTCGAGGCGAGTGGGAATGACTGAGTTAGATGAGATAGTAAGAGGAAAGTGTCTCCGCTATCTGCTGCTACTGCTTTTGCCGTCTGGCACGCCTGTACTCGTCATCGTCGCTGACTGTTCACTTTTTCAGTTGGTCACCATCTCCAAAAATGTTCTCTATCGCCTCTATCATTTGCTGCAACCACTCACTGGTGAACTCTCTCGTGACAAGTGACAACAGTGTTAGTCTACTAATACTTGTTGTACTATCACATCTTGACTCTCCTCTTCCCTCCCCCTCCTCCTGTTTGCAAAAAAACCTTTTCTCACTTTCTTCTCAGTGTCACAGGGAGACGTGTGTCACCGGCAAAACTGCTCATTTGCCTGCTGTTGTTTTTGCCGATTTGCTTCAATGAGCTTATACACTGCTTTTTGTCTACTTTTTTTCATTTTCTTCTTTTCCCTTTTTTCAGGCTGAGGTCCAAAAATAGACAACTAATGACGCGTCGGAAAAAGAGAGAGAGTGGACATAAATAATTGTCGACTGTGACAAGTCCAGTTTGCTGTGATTGGAACACACTGCACACAGCAAACACTGTGTGGTGTCTGCCAGTTTAGGTTTGGTACTCTTGCTCGGTCCCACTCAACAACTATTGACATTTCTGGTGTACGATTATATGATTATTTTATCGGTCCTTTTAAGAATTGGGCCTATTAGGCTGATTGGCTTCACTACCCACACAGGTCGCTGGGAAACAAACAATATATCTAATCAAAACGGAAAACAAAAACGCTGTCCTGGCCTTGACAGCCTCCTTCTTTTATTCTTGGTCACAGTCTGTCGGATTTGCCGGTCATGCACACAGGAGGACTGACAAACAGACAATCACATTTGCACACTTTGTTTCTGTCTCCTCTCACCTTAATTTGAGTAGCCGGCTTGTGCGACCGGCCAACTTGTGAACTTGATTAGTGCCGACGCTGGTTGAAGCCCCTAACCGGAAAAACAGTCTTTTTCAAACAGCAGAATGCAACAAACTTCACTTTCATTATCTGGTTTTGCGATTCTTCCCTTGTTTGTGGGTTGTGTTGTCAATTTAAAACGGTCACGAAATGGCGGCTCTACATTTGTACAGCTGTCTGACTGTTTGCTCAGGTCTACACGACTTCAAATTCATTTGTGTGGTGCACACTTTGCTGACAATCGATTCCCACTGTTGGGTTACCACTGGCGACCCGACACAGCCTGAGTTTGAAGAGAAAACTGAGACAAGCACGCAATTTTAAAAATTGTAACATGCTGCACCATTCACACTGGTGTGCCCACTTTGGCCATCGATGGACAGGTACGAGGCACTTTTCCTCGTTACCCACCACTGTTATACTTTATTTACATTTTTAGTTTACGACTGCAAAAAAATATATTTTGCGTGCAAGTAGTGACAGGGACACCTTTGATAAATAAATGACAACTAAGTAGTTCTCAAAGTGGTGCTGATAGCATCGAATGAATTTTCTCCACCTCTCTTACCGTCGTAAATTGATTGCAAAAAGTAATGGTGCGCCCTTCCCTTTCTCTTCTCATTAGCTAATCGATTGAAGTTCATGTTTTATTGAGGCAGTTAGTTAGTTTGTGGTAGTGTACCGGTAAAGCAAACGGTGTTTTTTCTTTTTTTCAGTTTTTATTTGTTAACCAGTAGAGCACCTATTATTTTAAAGTGCTCCTCTGGCAACAGTATTGATTTGATACACTTTTTTGCTGCAAAATTTNCTTTTTTCAGTTTTTATTTATTAACCAGTAGAGCACCTATTATTTTAAAGTGCTCCTCTGGCAACAGTATTGATTTGATACACTTTTTTGCTGCAAAATTTAGCTTTTGTCAACACTGTGGCCTGTGTGTATGTTGGTGATGGTTTTTGGTAGTTGCACTGAAAAAACTCTTCTTTTTTTGAAACATGAATTGAGTTGAAATCAATTTTCGAGTTGTCAGTTGTGGGTTTGTTGTTTCAAAAGCAAAGAATCGATTCAATAATTTTGCAACTTTAAAAAATTTAATTTAGTTTCCAAAACACACATCATGCCACAAGTATGATCGATTTGCTAGATTAGACATTTACATAGGTGACATAGTTGTCAACCATGAAGCCTTGCCCAAACTTGAGCAAAAAATAGAAAAGTCAAAGCATTGTGTGCACTGCTCAATTTGGGTCTGCCAACAAGGCGGGAACATCAGGCACTGCCGGAGTTCATCTACCAGAGTGGAACACACTGTCTTCTAGCTAGAATAATGGGCAACAGCACTAATAAAGTTATTTGGTTTTCTGGAGACTGCTCAATTGACTGCATGCTCTCTTTCTCTGTTCTCCGTTTCACAGCATGAGTATCAGGAAAGGAAGGCTAGCAGGTAGACAATCTAAGCGTTTACATAGCCACGCGTCAAACGACGATCCAGAAGAAGACTGAAATGATAGCGACGGGCCAATTTTAAAAAGCGAACCACAGTGCTCGGTCTGGTTCAGTCAAACGGCAAGCTCGACTGGTGCCGGTTGTGCTGCTGCTGTTGTGGTCGCCGCCGCCTTTCACTCGCTCTTTATCTTTCGCTCTTCAGTGTGCGCGCTTTGGCATTCTTTGGATCGCTGTCGGATCGTTCTCGTGAATCGTCGTCGTGTGAGCGAAGGAGAAGAGAGTGAGAGTGAATGTGAATGAGAGAGTGAGAGTGAGAGTCTCCCGCCATAAACTGGCCACTGTGCGTCGGCTGTTTAGTGTGGTCTCTCACTTTGGTCTCTCCCTCACTTGCTCACACGCGCCCTTCTGACACTGCTGCTCACAGTGCTGGTGCCGCCGCTGCGGGAACTACCGCTGGTTTCTTCTTGATTGCCGTGTGAACTGTTTTTGTCGCCTTTTATTTATTTTCTCTCACCTACCATGGCTTTTGCAGTACCCAACTTGTCAACATAGAAGTCACAGGAAAGGCACACAAGAGGAAAGTTATTTCAAAAATCCTTCGGCGAAACTCATTTTTGCTGTCATTGTCATCTTTGCTCTGCAATCTGAAGATGGTTGTGGGTCGTTTTAGATGCTCTGAAGCATCACTGCTGCAAATTGTGGTCATCAATTAGCCTTCAAACAAGCGCCTTCTCCTGCACTTTCCTCATTCACTTTTTATTAGCCCAAAATAGCCTGCTCAACGTTTCTCAATTACCTCTAATCGCTTGTTCAACCGCAGCTCATCAGTACCATTAATTAATAAGCTAAAATTGCTGAAAACAAAAATTTCCCGTGAAGTACCGAAAATGCACGTGTGGCCTACCAGGACCATAATTAGGATGAGCGTCCAAATCAATGAGGCGACTGCTGATGTCTGCTAAAGAAGATTCGAGGCGCAGTGTCTCAGTCAGTCTGTGGTCTGCTGTAACCACCTCCTCACTTCCTCGCCCCCACTATCGTCTTCCCAATCGGTGCTGTTTGTGCTAGCAAGCATGTGCCTTGTTCTTTCACTCGTCCCATTTCTGTGCTTCTCCAGTGCCTTCTTCTTCTTTGCCCTCCTTTTGCCTCCTGTCGTTGCCTTTGCTCTTTCTACTTCTTCTTCATCGTCTGAAGACTTCTCAGCACCCTCAGTGACTACCCTTAGCAGCAGTACAGCGGTAGTGTCCACTCTAGTTCAGCAGTACTTTTACAGTCCCATATCAGTGCTGGTCCTCTCGGCAATCGCTACTGTGCTCATTTTCGCCTTCCTCTACCAGCGATACCAGTCGACAGCAGCTTCCCCTAGTACAGATAGTAACATTATTGTTGATAATAGCACCACTTTGAATATGCTGAAGATGCGCGCCAAGCCGAAGGGAGAGACATCGGCTGCTACCGGTGCTTGCCGCCGAAAGGGAGGCGGTGGTGGTGGTGGTGCTCCACCACTCACTCTCAAGCTTGATGTTCTGGGTAAAGTCCACACGATCGACTATGAAAACCAATCGCTTGTTGATGTAAGTTGAAACTATCTGCAGTAGTGGTCGTCAGTTTAGTTAGTGAAGTTTAGTCAGTAGGGCAGTAAGCATAGTCACAGGCACAACACACACACACACAGTCACAAGTTTTCTTTTTGCTTATCAACAAACAAAAATGCCGTACATACTCATCATACTCACGACAATTTTCGTCTCCCTTCCTCTATACCTCTTTTTTCCAATTACAAATCCACTAAAACGCAAACTTCAAACCATAAACCACACCAACAGTTGTCCACGATGGAGCGGATGCCCAAGCACTACGATGATGCCGCCGCCGGTTCTGAGACTAAGCTGATGACACACCTCTACGATGATGCAAAAACCATACTAGAGTCGTTGGAGCGTGGCTGCTCGCTCAATGGTCAGTGATCAGTTTATTAGCAGCGCCTTTTCCGGTTAACCGGTTTAAACACCATCTTTCAAATTCCGAGACAGGATCCGGTAACTGTCTGGGCCGCATTGAGCAGTCGACAAAGAGCGTTTCCTGGTGGAACTACAACAGCGTCATGGAGCGGGTGGCACACTTTGGCGACGGTCTGTACCAGCTGCTCGGCGGCGACGAGTTCATCAGCGGAAGGAAGGGAGAAGCGGCCTGTGTGGGCATCTATTCGGCCAACTGTCCGGAGTATGTCATTGCCNTTTTCCGGTTAACCGGTTTAAACACCATCTTTCAAATTCCGAGACAGGATCCGGTAACTGTCTGGGCCGCATTGAGCAGTCGACAAAGAGCGTTTCCTGGTGGAACTACAACAGCGTCATGGAGCGGGTGGCACACTTTGGCGACGGTTTGTACCAGCTGCTCGGCGGCGACGAGTTCATCAGCGGAAGGAAGGGAGAATCGGCCTGTGTGGGCATCTATTCGGCCAACTGTCCGGAGTATGTCATTGCCGAGTACGGCAGCTACTGGCACTCGCTCGTCGTCGTGCCCATCTACGATACACTCGGTCCAAATGCCTGCTCGTACATCTCAAACCAAGGTAATCACAGTGCTTACAATAATAATAATGCAGCTGCCCTACTAGAGGGTATTTACGGTAATTAGGAATGGGAGAGAACAAGTCAGGAAGGGAAACAAGAAAGAGAGAGAGGGAGAATGTGCAATCGGCAAAAGGCATTGCCCAATCGTGTCAATGGCGCCTTCCATTCACTGTCTGTCTGCATTCAGCTCGCGGCGCGTAATTAATTGCAGGCCTCTCTCTAGCTCTTTCCGTTGCTCTCTCGCTCACTCACTTTCTCTTGGTAATGTCACAGTTCATGGCATTGTTTGCCATCGAGACACGGACAATCTCGCCGCCACGTTTGGGCGTGGACGCCTTATTCGTGGGTTTGCTGGATTTTCATCTGACTTGCATGTTCTTTCATGTCACTGGTGCCAAAACCAGCTAACGACAGTTTGCTGATCCAGGAAGAGAAACAGTGAGAGTGAAAACGAGAGTGAAAGGCGCCCAGGCAGCTGACAGGCCTGTGATTGACAGACAGACAAGGCAGAAGTTGTGACCGCCTGTCGCTGAGACTACCACTCTCTTAACAGTTTGCCTATTGATCGCCGGTGAACCCACCGTTTTGACAATATATCCGTTGGTCAGCCGAGCTAAATTGTCGCCGTGAATTGAATGCTGAAGACATATTACTAGAATTGCTTGCGAATGATTGCTGTTAATAGTGGAATAGTGTTAATAGTGCTATTTCAGAGCTATAAATGGAACTGGACAGAAATGACATGTGCAGGTGTTGTTGACGACAGNTAATATATCCGTTGGTCAGCCGAGCTAAATGTCGCCGTGAATTGAATGCTGAAGACATATTACTAGAACTGTTTGCGAATGATTGCTGTTAATAGTGGTGCTATTTCAGAGCTATAAATGGAACTGGACAGAAATGACATGTGCAGGTGTTGTTGACGACAGCGGCTTATGCTGATGATGATGATGATGGGCTTTAAAAGTCAGTTGTTCAAGAGTGGATTGTTATAGGTTTTCTCTTTACAGTACTTGCTGCTAAATAAATGGTCACTAATTAATGCAGTGTAGAGTAAAAACGGTTGCCGATTTGACAGTCAATTGATTTTTTATTTTTCTAAATACTTTCAGCGGAAATTGAGTGCATCATCTGTGACAAGCTGGAGCGCATTCAGATAATACTCTCACAAGCTACGGTACTCAAGTCGATTCGCTATCTCATTGTCTTTGAGGACATTCCGCATAGTTACAAACAGAAAGGTAATTATACTGAAGGAGATGAAACAGTTAACAACTTTCTAATTATTTATATCCCAACTTTAGCTTCTAGTCATGGCATGAAAGGTAAGTCCAATTTTTTGATTGAATTATGCAAAACTAACTATGTTTTTCAGTGCTTACCATTCAAGAGGTGGAGGCCCTTGGAAAGAGCAAACCAATGCAGGCTCAAGTAGGTGGATCAAACTTGAAAGTAATGCAATGTTTTCACAAGGTTTATTTTATAACAGAAGCCAAAACCTGCCGACCTGGCTATTGTTTGTTTTACATCTGGCACAACTGATGTGCCCAAAGGTATTGCAAAGTATAAAAGAAAAAAGTTTGTTTCAAATTTTTTTATTACCAGGCGTAATGCTCAGTCACGGAAATGTCATTGCTAACGTGTCGGCGGTCATGTATCAAATGGTAAAGTGCATTCATGTCGTTGTTTTTAAAATGATGCTAATTATGGTCATTACCACTTATTCAGATGGAGTACACCATTCGGCAGGATGACGTCCTCATGTCATATCTGCCCTTGGCACACATGTTTGAACGGTGCTGTGAGGTGAGTAGAGTGCTAGTGAGGATGACGAGGAAAAAGATGATCATCATTAAATTTATTTATTCGGCACTACTACTTTTAAACACACACACACACCACCATTTGCGCCCTGTCATCACCCCCTTTCTCTTTGCAGAATGCCCTCTTTATGGTTGGCGGCTCAGTAGTCTTTTTTAGCGGTGACGTGAAAGTACTCTCTGATGATATGAAGATTGCCAAGCCTACTCTTCTGCCTGGTGAGTGCTCTGTCTGTTTGTCTGTAAATGGGTTAGTATGCTGAACGTACTGTCCCTTCCCTAGCCGTNGGTGGTCTTTTTTAGCGGTGACGTGAAGGTACTCTCTGATGATATGAAGATTGCCAAGCCTACTCTTCTGCCTGGTGAGTGCTCTGTCTGTCTGTCTGTAAATGGGTTAGTATGCTGAACGTACTGTCCCTTCCCTAGCCGTTCCCCGCCTGCTGACGCGCATCTACTGCAAGATCCAGGACAGTGTGAAGAGCAATGTGATCAAGAGCTTGCTGCTGAACACCGCCTACCACTTCAAGCAGAAGGATTTTGAGCGAACAGGCATCATTCGCCAGGACACACTGTGGGATCGTATTGTCTTCAAGAAGGTCCGCGAGAACTTGGGCGGTCGGGTGCGTCTGGTGATGAGCGGCTCGGCGCCCCTTAACCCTAATGTCCTCGAGTTTCTGCGTTGTGCCCTGGGAGCGGTGGTCATTGAGGGCTACGGACAGACGGAGTGCTGTGCTCCATGTACGGTGACCTTCCCGAGGGATGTACGAACTGGTCACGTCGGACCGCCCATTGCAGCAGCAGCCATTAAACTCGCCGATGTTCCTGACATGGGCTACTACGCTGCAGATGGCAAGGGAGAGGTGCTGGTTCGTGGGCCGATCGTCTTTCAGGGGTACTTTAAGGACCCAGAGAGGACGGCGGCTACGCTAGACACTGATGGGTGGCTCCACACCGGTGATATTGGCCAGTGGACCGTACAGGAGACGCTGAAGATTGTCGATCGACGAAAAGTGAGTGAGGAGATTTTGTATTTTTATACTCATCTCTTTTTCGCTTTTTTCTTCCAGAATATCTTCAAGCTCTCTCAGGGCGAGTACATTGCCCCGGAGAAGATTGAGAACACGTACAGCCAGTGCACACTGGTGGCGCAGGTTTTTGTCTACGGAGAGTCGCTCAAGTCGACTCTGGTGGGCATTGTCGTTCCAGACCAGGTCGTCCTTGAGATTTGGTGCCGAAACAACAACATCAATGGTACCTTTAGTGAGATGTGCCGCAACAAGGTAAATATTCTGAATCAACTGATGATGAATCATACCACTTTCCCTCTCTTTCAGGACGTAAAGAAAATGCTGCTGAAGGAGCTGCACTGTTTGGGACAGCGTGACGGACTGAAGTCCTTTGAGCAGGTGAAAGACATTCACATTGACGCGGAACTCTTCACTGTGGAGAACGGACTGCTGACGCCGACGATGAAGTCGAGGCGAGAGGAGATCTACAAGCACTTTAAACGGCAAATCGATCAACTGTACTCGAAGCTTGAGTGACAGGCACTGCCACCACTCCACAGCTTCTACAAAACACTATCACTCACTGATTCACTCACTCACTCTGCTCACCACAGCCACCTCCTAATACCACTTTTGCACATCGGCAATCTTCACATTCTCTCTATCTCTACTGCTTTCGTTTGCACTGAGTGCGTGTGCTTGCGTGTGTGTTCTTTCCCTTCTTTCTTTCTTTATCTATCTACAGCTGCAGGAGATGCTGATGGTGATGGTTGTTCAAAGTCCACCACAGCATCATTCCGCATCATTTCACCCTCTCTTTCTCTCTTTCCCACTCTAGCCACCGCCATCATCACCACCTGATGATGCACATTGCGGAAAAAGCAAGCAAACAAAAAAAGGCAATTNCTTTCTTTATCTATCTACAGCTGCAGGAGATGCTGATGGTGATGGTTGTGCAAAGTCCACCACAGCATCATTCCGCATCATTTCACCCTCTCTTTCTCTCTTTCCCACTCTAGCCACCGCCATCATCACCACCTGATGATGCACATTGCGGAAAAAGCAAGCAAACAAAAAAAGGCAATTCACTGTGCTGTTTTTTAGCTGTTTACCTGTGATGTCCACAACTCTTTCTACACTTTCTCTCACTCCTTGTCCAGTTTGTGTGATCGTAGAAGCCTTTCCCATCTGTCTGTGAGATAAGAATCCCCTAACTACTGTCTACCACTGACTGTGTGGCCTACTAATCTCATCACCTGATAATCATTATCTTCTCCTCTTCTAATTAAGTAGAGGAGGCGTGCTCATTCGTGCTCACAACTTTAGTGATAACACACACTCACTCACAAACACACATAAAGTCTATCCTAACTATCCACACTATACCTGCAGCAATAAGCAATAAAAACAATTTGGTTTCAAGTAGCCGATGCCGATTGGGAAGTAAAGTGCAGCAACGCGCGCAAAATGTACGGCTTCCACTGCCTTTGCCTGCCTCCTCTGGTTGGCTAGTTAGGCAGGCAGTTAGCAAGTGCCTTGCCTCACCATCATCATCATCGTCGTTGTCGGCGGCGGCGCCAGTGCACACTCAGAGGAAGACAATTGGGAGAGGGAGAGAGAGAATGCACTAGCAATGGATTGGTAGAGTGCAGCAGACCGACAGACCGACAGACAGACAGTGTTTCAGTGTTAATAAAGTCTCTTGCTTTGCTCTCCGACAAAGTGGCGTGATGCGCCGGAGTGCACCGAACCTGATGAGACGCCCAGACGACGGCGACAAAGGCAGCAGCAGCAGCAGCGTCTGCCAACCACTGGAACACTACAGCAGAATTGTTGGTAGTCACTGGAATGAGCTGCATAGTGGACAGGGGTGGGAATCGTGTCCACTTTTCCGCTGTAGCTACACAGCCAACGNGTTTCAGTGTTAATAAAGTCTCTTGCTTTGCTCTCCGACAAAGTGGCGTGATGCGCCGGAGTGCACCGAACCTGATGAGACGCCCAGACGACGGCGACAACAGCAGCAGCAGCAGCAGCGTCTGCCAACCACTGGAACACTACAGCAGAATTCTTGGTAGTCACTGGAATGAGCTGCATAGTGGAAGTGGCTCGCGGCAGAGTTGAAGTTGGCGCCAGAGTATACCGTTTCCGAATGGCTCTCCACCACGTGCTCCACAAACACAGTAGCCACTTTCTCTCACTCTCGCTCTCCCGCTCTCTCTCTCTCTCTCTTCACCGTCGTCTGATCCTCGTCAGACGATAACACCGCAGCACACGTTCACGTTCATCTTGTCCATCTCTTTTGCCTCGGTTCAATCGCCTGCCATCTTCAGTCGATCATATCATCACCACTATCCTCATACTCATCTTCATCCTCATCCTCGCCATTGCCTGATTGCAGGTGACTCTTCTTCGACTGGCGCGGGAAAAGAAGAAAGATTGCAGGCCATCAGCAATCGTCTACGTCGTCGTCGTAGTCGACCGTCACCTCCGTCAGCACCGTTGCATCGTCGCCCTTTTTTCACCACTATCACCACCGTTGTAGTGTTGGCTATCCCAGCAAGGTTACACCGCGCCAGCTGCAACAGCGTGCGCGGAACACTACTCTCCTGTACCTCCTCTCCACTCGTCTGTTTCGCCTGCCTGAAAAGAGCTCTTTCTCCCAAGCGCCGTTTAAACTTTTACTTTGCTGTCTCTCCCTTTCTCTTTCGCCGTCTGTTTGTTGTTGGCTGTGTCTACTCTTCGACGACACTCTGATCGACGGGTGGACTCGTGAAGATATCTACTGGAGAGCGAGAAAAGAGGATACCTGTCTTCATCACCGTTTGATGCACTGGAAGATACAAAACAGCAACTTGCGCAAATAGTAGCAAGGCCAGCAAAGCATTGAAAAATCTTCACATGTGAGTAAGTTCACTTGTTTACAGTCTCTCTTTTACTCTTTCTTCGCCCTTTCTCGCTCTCCTATCTGACTGTCTCTTTTGTGCGTCTCTTTTCCAAGAAGATGGGAGAGCATTTTTAACTGCAACTGTCTGAAACTCGTCTGCGTTGCGTGATATTTACAGTAGATAATCTGGCATTGTGTGTATTCTTGCGTCTATGTGCTATTTGCTACCTCCGTCTGGTTTGTCTGGCTTGTTTGTGTATGTGTCAACTGATCAGCTGCATTGTCCTGCCTCATTGTTGCACCAGTGTTTATTTTTCCATCACTACCTTTCCAATTGATACACTGTTGGCTTTATTCTCCCCCCTCGTCGCCATCACCACTGCCACAACTACCAGTGAAGCGTTAAACGCCATGTACTATTTGAAATTTCGCTCACCATCGTTATGGTAACATGAAGTCAAAAAGAAGTCATACCATTTTTCTGATTCTCTGAAGCAGTGGCTTGTGTTAGAGCACTAAAATAGCCTCCAAAATGAAAACGATCACGCCATTCATTTGTTTGGTGAGGAACGCAAGGAAACAGCATGTGCATACTTTGTGTTGTGCTCAGTGACTGCATTCAGCAGTGTCACAGCAGCTTCCAGGGTGTACAGCCACTGAAAAAGAATGCAACTGTATATGTGCTTCTCGCCCTCTAATCGATAATGAATAGTGGCACCGGTGATTAGCCATCACCACCATTACCCCTGAAGAAGGGCAGCTACACCATCGCAACTGATTGATTTACCCATTTGTAAGATTAGCGGACATCGCTTGGGCCACTGACACCGAAATGAGTAGCTGCCAGAACTGATTTGTACATCTTCGACACTAAATCGACTGCTTCAATTTCCTCTCGGCCGCCGTCAGTACTACTACTCCTCCTCCTCAGATAACAGTCGTACAACAGTCGCAGTGACAACATATACACACACACACACTCATCGGCGGATGGTAATCGGACATCGTGTCGACAGGGAAAACAGGAGAAGTGAAAGTATAGACGAAGTACAAGCACTGCTGCCGATTACGTTGGTGCCGGTGCACAGTGTCGAAAATCATTCATTTACCACCACCACCAGTGCTCTTGTTGGTGGTGCAGACCGCAAAGGCGCAGCTACTGCAGCATCAGAAGCACCCGAGCAGACACCACCAGAGTGCCGGCAGATTGGCGGACAAACTAACTGAACGCCGCTCGATTTTGCCTTGCTCACACTTCACACACGCTCTCCAGCTCGCACCGACCGAAGTGCAGTGACAGTAGAGCTCACACATTCGTTGCCATTCAGTGCGTTCACCAAATTCACACACACACACACACACACACACTCACATACACTCGCACATATTCAGTGCCGCTGCATTTGCTGGATCACAGTTGATCCTATCCTACTGTATGCCCCCTTTGCTTCTAGCGCCACTCCACTCTGAGCTCGCGCTGACACTCTCTTAGAAGTCTGCACTGGCGCGCTGTTCTTCAGCAGTCTCCGGCGCCACTTTGAGGAAAGCTAGCGAGGGAGACCGCGCGCGCGTCACCACCAGCACTAGTACCACCACCACCACCACCACCATATATTCTCGCCAACAGAGATATTCTCACTCTCACTGGCTGTGCTTTCCCTTCACCGTTGCCGCATTCACTTTCTCTGGTGGCTTCAGACCTCACTTTCCTTCTGTCTCTCTCTCTCTCCCCGTTCCTCCATGTCGCTATTGTAACGTGCTCGAACACTGAACACAGAGAGTGTGAGCGAATGAGTGTGAGAGTGAGTGAGTGAGTAAGGGAGAACCAGACGGACGGACGGTGGGACGCAAATAATCACGCCACTTTGGCCGACCACCGCTGCCGCTGCTTCTGCAACCTGCGACTGCAGCCGCTGCCGCCGACACCGCCGAAGCTGCAGCGACAACAAAGAGGAGACGACGAGAGAAGGTCAGAGGACGTAAGGTGAATGGTGAAAAGTCAGAGTGTGTCCTGTGAGAAGAGCACACTGCCAACCCCGTTTCCCTGGCCACCAAGTACCGAAAGTGACTTTGGCGGCGGCCACTGCACGCCACCGGTTCGGGCCTACATCTTCTGGGGAAATTACTTCAGTTACCTCCTCATTTTTCTCAATTATCTCCACTGTCGTAGTTGTGTTTCTTTATCTGGTATTGAGTAGTTTTCAGTGTAAATTAGTTTTCTTTGTCGAGCGGCTTATAAAAGCTCGAAGATGTGTTCAACTAAAATAGAATATTTTGGTATCTTATTCTAATGTGGCTTACTTTTTCTCGTTTTCTTCTAGATTTCATCAACTAGAACAGGAAAATCACCTCATTGCAGAAAAAAGGGAAAAACTTGCATCCTTTGCGTCAGTTTTGCGTTCACTTTTACGCCGAAGCAGTATATAAAGTATATCCGCCTTTTATCAACAGAGCAATCGATGCTCTACAGATATCGTTCACTAGAAGCGTCAGCATTTGAATTTGCGACAATTTAAATAAGTTGAAGTATCAAGCTCGGACCGTAGTGTTGTTTTGCACGCCTTGTACACAACACACACTTCTTGCTACTTTTGCTGCTGCCGTTGTCGTCGCTGCTACTGCGTCGACCTTTGTCGTCGTTTCTCTCTTATCGGCAATTTATCGGGCGACTTCTGTTTCGCCTCACCATCATCACCACCAACACCTCCTTCTCCTCCAGACTGCATCTTCTGGCAGTCTTGGCGTCCACCAATCACCATCAACAGCATCAACATCAGCAGTACCACCAGTACTACCACCAGCACCAGCTGCACCCGTACCACCCGCTCAACTCTCTCTCAGCAGCACCTCTGGACACTTTGCCATCAGTTGTGTTGGTTCACTAATCACCTTCGGAATCACACCAGTCACAACACCCAATCGTTCTTTCTCAGTGACTATTTAAATGGTAAGTACACAAGTGCGTGCTAACTAGTCGCCCTCGCTCTTTTGCCCATGTTTTTCTGAACAACAGACTATATTGTGCTCTTCTCTTCTCTTACTTTTTTTAGATGAGTTTCAATCTGTTCATTGCTTTCGTCCTCAGTGGCGTCAGCCTCTACTACTATGTGATTCGGAAAAAGTCCCAAAAATCAATTGAAAAGTTTAAAGAAGTGTGCGACAAGTTGGACTACGACCACCAGTCAGCTGAGCTTGAGGTAGGTGTAGTTAGCCAATTGGCCATTGTTTATGCCCTCGTTAATTTTTTCCGTTTGCTAATTTGCGGTGTGCTAACTACCACTTCTTTCCAGGAAAACGGCGCCCAAGTTCGGATATCCAAGTATGGCGAAAGGACTGAAAGAGGGGAAGTGAAGTACCTCACGTACTACTTTGAGCAGTGCAAAACTATGTACGACGTTGTGCCGCATGGCGCCAAAAAATCAAGTACGTAACGCCGGTTTTGTTGTTGGTGTTTCTGTTGCTGTTGCGTGACCTTACCACTGGGCTAATTAATGAAATGCTCTCTCTCTCGCTCTCTCTCTCGCTCTCTGCAGTTGATGGGCTGAGCGTGGGCAACATCAACAGCACCCGAACCGGCGTCGACTGGGTCAGCTTTGAGGTGGTCCTCCGCCGGAGCAAGCACTTTGCCGATGGCCTCCTCCAGCTGGGCATTCAGCCGAAGGCCACCTTTGGCATTTACTCGATCAACAGCGCCGAGTACACCATGGCCGAGTACTCCTGCTACCGCCACTCGATCGTCGTCATTCCCATCTACGAGACGCTTGGCTCCAATGTCTGCGTTTTCATTGCCAAGCAAGGTACGCAGACAGTGTCAAGGTCAACTGTTTCATCCCCCTTTAATACTTTTTTTCATATACAGCTAAGCTGACCGCCATCTTTTGTGATACCCTAACGCGTGTGGATGGTGTTCTGAAGAATGTCAAGGAATGTGACACCTTGAAGCATATCATCGTGGCGAGCGCTGGCTCTGACGCTGCACTGCAGGCGATGAAGGAGAAAGGTAAAATTACCTCTATTAGCGCAAACTTACTGGGTAAATTATACAAATCTTTTTTCTTTTTCCTTTTCAGCTGTATCGTATGGTTTGCAGTGTAAGTGTTTATTTGCTTAATTAATATAATTAAAACACGGTGTTTCTAATTTGTTGATTGTTTTCCTTACAAAGTGCATTCAATGGACGATATTGAAGGGTTGGGTAAAATTAACCCACAGGCCGATCATGTAAGTACCGTTTGACTAATTAGAAACACTTTGTAGTGCTATTATTTAACTAACTTACGTACTTACAGCCACCTGAGGCTAATGACTTGGCCGTCATTTGCTACACATCAGGCACTACTGACGCTCCGAAAGGCATGTTTTAAGCTCTATAGCTCGGTTTTGGAAATAACTGACGTCATTTCTTCTTAATTTCTACAGGAGTGATGCTTAGCCATGAGAATATTGTGGCCAACTTTTCGGCGATTTTGCACCACCTAGTCGACTATCGACTCTGTGAGACGGACACTCTCATCAGCTACCTACCCCTGGGGCACATGTTTGAGCGTGTCTGCGAATGGGGCGTCCTCGCGGTGGGCGGCAAGGTTGGCTACTTTAGTGGAGACATCAAGCTGCTGTCGGATGACATGAAGATCATCCAGCCCACCATGTTTCCATGTAAGTTTAGCGGAGAACTTTTAGATTTATTTTTCGGTATTTACCGATTCACTTTCACTTGCAGGTGTTCCACGAGTCCTGAACAAGATTTACGGGCGAATCCAGGAGACGGTCAGCTCCAGCTTCATCAAGTCCTGGCTGCTGAACATGGCGTACGAGTCGAAGAGAAAGCAGCTGGCGAACAAGGTGTACGATAACAACACCATCTGGGACCACCTCGTCTTCTCGAAGATTCGCGCCCTGCTCGGCGGCCGCGTTCGCATCATTCCCGTCGGCTCTGCACCACTCAACGATAAGGTGCTCGACTTTTTGCGCTGCGCCCTGGGCTGCCACATTCTGGAGGGCTACGGTCAGACGGAGTGCGTCGCCGCCTCCACCGTCGGTCTGATTGGCGACTACACGGCGGGCCATGTTGGCGTGCCGCTCGCCTCCTCCGCCATGAAGCTCATCGACGTCCCCGACATGGGGTACTTTGTGGCGAAGGGCAAGGGCGAGGTGGTGATTCGCGGGTCGATCGTCTTCAAGGGCTACTACCAGGACCCGAAGAAGACGGCGGAGACGGTGGACGCGGAGGGCTGGCTCCACACCGGCGACATTGGTCAGTGGACGGAACAGGGTACGCTGAAGATTGTCGATCGAAAGAAGGTAAGTGACGGCCAAAAATTACTCTTAAAGAGCAGTTGATTTCTGCTTACTAATGTGCACTACTTTTGTCTGACCCACAAAAAACTAGGACATTTTTAAACTGGCTCAAGGCGAATACATTGCTCCGGCGAAGATTGAGGACATTTACGCGCAGAGTCCTTATATACTGCAAATTTTTGTCTACGGCGACAGCTACAAGTCTAATCTGGTGGGCTTTGTCGTGCCCAACTTTCCACTGGTTCAGGAGGCCTTCAAGAAGAAGGGCATCACCGTGGACGTTGACTTTGAGAATAACAACCAGCTTCGATCGAATGCAGTAAGTGTTTTGCAATGCTTGGTTATGTCGTTATTTAAATCTCATTCAATTTCAGGAAATTAAGAAGTTTATCCTTGATGAGCTGACTAGCGTTGGCAAAATGAGCAAGCTAAAGTCCTTTGAGCAGGTGAAAGACATTTTAATACATCCTGAGGGATTCTCCATCGAGGAAGGCCTGGTGACGCCCACCCTTAAAAATAAGGTATGCTGCTTTCTAATTTATCTTTTTATTGTTTTTTCTTTAACTTTCATTCTTTTTACCTAGCGCTTCGCGTTGAAAAAGTTTTTCCAAAAGCAAATAGAAGAATTGTACAGCAAGTTAGAGTAAAGGTGAAGAGTGATCTGCTGGCGTCAGCGTACTTCCTGCAAGTGTGTAAGTGCAACTTTAGCAACAAAGTCAATTCCGAGGCTTTCCAGTCAGCATTCACATCACTGCAGCTTTCCCTTTCTCCTTCACTCTCTTTCTCCCTGATTCTTATTCTATAATTACCACCAATGTGAATAACTCAACCATTCTCCGGCTGAGTGACACACGGCACCTATCTCTCCTTCTCCTCTCTTGCTCCCTTTAATAGTACGTATCTCTCTCTTCCTCTCTTAATCAATCAATTAATTTATAATGTACAGACAAACACACACACACAAATCTCCAAATATCACAACACAGCACACACTCAAATGGCCACATTTGCGATACATCCACACCTGGACAGTGGTGGTCGCACTCTCAAATGCACACTTAGCACTTCCTTTTAATTTCAATATCTGCATTTGCACCCGAGCACTGCAAACAATCTCTCTCTTCCTTCTTTCCCTCCTACCCTCTCTCACTCTTGAACAGACACCACTTGTGATGATGTGATGTGCTGCTGCTGCTTTATTAGCGAGATTGCCTTCCTATTATGTGAACTCTAGGTAGACTACGTGTTTCGACCCTTTTGTGTTGCTCCAAAGCTTCTCCCCTTTTAATTCTTTCTAGCGTGTTTCAATTTATTTTTTTACAAGTCATTATTATTATTACAATTTTTCCTTTCAACCGCTTCGTTTCTCACCTTTTGTTCAGTTTGTAAATAATTGCTTTTAGATGATGTGTTCTTGATATTATTATTACTTCTCTTAATTATGTTGTCGTCCTTCTTACCCCTTTTTCTCTCTTTGTAAAATGCCACACACATCCACACTCTACACAAAACACAAAGTGTATTTTTCTCATTGTTAAGGTGATCAGTGAGCGCTTTAATTTGAACATTAAACGCGTGCACGTGTATTATGTTCGGGTTTTAGGTTGACTTACCGATGAGGAGGGGGTGGGGATGTACTAACTGTGGTGTTGATGATGATGAGTCATGTGATGACAGTTGAAAATAGACAATGTACGAAGAATGCACTACCAGCGATGACGGAGAGAGAATCGGAGGAATGCCCAAGTACATTCTTAAATTGGAGATGTTGTTGTTCGGAGAGAGATGTGAGTGATGTGTGTGTACTATGCCTACCACCGAACTTCCACTGAACAATGGAGAAGACAGTGAGACAGTGCACTGTGTTGAATGAGGAAAAGTTGCGCGAAAAGTCGAACTGTACACTTATCTACTGGTCGTCCCTGGTCACCTCTCTCTCTCTTGCGGTCTTGACGTCTTCTCTCTTGTTTTCTTCTTTTTCCCTCTTCTGCGTCTGTTGCGTCCAATCTGCATGTCTGATCGGTCAGCAAACAATACGTGTTCAGAGTGTGAGCTTAGAGGGCTCGTTTTAATATGCGGTGCGACGGTGACTATTAGCAAGTTAGAGTCAGCAAACAGATTGCCTCAGCGATTCGCCTCAGTGGACCTGAACTTCAGCAGCTCGCCTGCCCAGTGCCTTTCAATGCTCTCTCTCCCTCTCTCATATCAATTTCGCCAGTGTGCATTGTCTGTTTTTTATTATCGAGTAAAATAAAAGAAGAGCCAATGGATGGACAATTAATAAATAGGTAAAAGAGTGGTAATAAACATTTAGAAGTAGTACAACAACAAGAGGAGAAGAATGAATGAATGAGTGTGGTGTTTTGTGCAGGTGAGAGATGGATCGGGGGTTCGGATGGGTGGGTGGTTTGGATGGCCCTTTCAAGAGGGGGAGGACACAGCGGGTCACACACTGTCACTTCGCTTTGGAAAGAAGTTTGCTCTTTAGAGAAAGAAGCATGAGTAGCAGGAAGGGTTTTCTCTCGATCAAATAAAATCACTTGACTAATCTAGTCACATGTATTTTTGTTAGTAGGTCATCGGGTCCCGAAAGACGGCTCGCTTTCGGCGCTTGCTGTTCAGGCAGTTGCCCCACCAGGAGGTCTCTGTGCAGTGATCCTCTATGCTGAACATGAAGCACTTCGTCTGCACGATGTTGAAAAAGATCTTTCCTACTAGGTTCGCCGCACCAGAGTCGGCCACTTTCAAACAAGAGCGGAATCTGAAACAACAGAGTTAGTCAGAAATCAATTGGGCACTGTTCTATTTACCTTTCATCGCACGAACAATGCGACACATAGTGGAACCTGAGTTGGCGGGGCAGAAAAGAAAAAAGGACATTAGTTCAGTGAATCGTAAAAGGATATTCTATGTGGACTCTTCAGAAACAATTTCCGCAACTAGGACCAGGAAATGGGACTCATTAGGTAGAATACTTGAAGCGAAAACGCTGCTGACCGCTGCTGGTCATTGGTCTCATCAACTTTTCCTCACGATCCTTTTGTCTTTCATTGTGCACTCAGACAAAGGGTCACTGGCCATTATCAGATGATGATGGAGTCGATCATGCGATCAAACTCGATGCGGCATTGTCTCTCACATTTTCCTTCATAACAAAACCTACCTAAAGTTGAAGAGGTGATAACGAGAGGTGAAGGGTCCAATGGAGTACTTGCAACGGTCGTGATCGCGACAGCAGCGGTCCGCAAATGAGTAATCGCCCAAGTCGCTGAACTCAAGATTGTTTGATCCCTTGCCGCACCACTTCGTTCCCGGAAAAATCATCATTTCCCGTTTTGACCGTTTTCCCATTTTTTTTGTCTGCTCAAACTTCTCGCGAACTAACTGGTGCAGGCCGACGCACTGGTGCACAAACTTGTCATACTCGGTCAGTCGCTTCAGGTGCTCCGGCAGAGTGGTAAAGTTTTCATGTTGTCTATTGTTGCAGAAAAGGTTGAACGGTTAATCTTAAAAAGCACACATTAACAGTATAAAGCTTACTCAATCAGCGAAAATGACTTGCTGTCTTTGCGAAGGTTGGGATTGACCTTGAGAAACTCCCGCTGAATGGCGTCCACCTTGTGCTGGTCGTTGGTGTACTCGCAATCGACCAGTTCGCCATTTGACAGCCACAGCTGCACCACTTGGAACTCTTTGATTATCTGTGGTGGGGCAAGCAAACATAACAAAGAAGTTAGTAATTAAACGGAAGCGCCCTGCACCGGTCGCGGTTGGGGTTTGTCTTTTGTCGGCAGTTGGCTCTTTTGTCCTCGGCAGTTCCTCGGCTCTCTCATTACCGCACACACACACTCGTTTTGCCGCTTGCCTGTGTTGCATTTTCCGTCTGCTCCTCATTTAGTGATAGCACCGATGTGCCTGCTGGACAAGCGGCAAGAGAGAGATTGCCGACAGTGATAGACCAACATGGCAGCAGCAGCAGTTGCCCGGCAGTGTAGTGTAACCTTAGACGATGCGGCTTCAGTTGTTCAAAAGCAAAGGGGGAGATAGCGGCGTAGTCTACGACTAGGAGCATTGCACGTGCCAAAACAAATCGAGCCACTTTCTTTTATCGCGGACAGACCGGCAGTTAAATCGCCTGTTCTGTTTTACTACCGCCTCTTTCTGATAGCAAAATCTAAATGTTTTTTCTAGAGAAATCGATTCGATTTGGCGGCTCTCCACCACTGCTGCCAATAGATTGCTGTTGCCATGCAATATGAGAAGGAAAGAAAGCGAGATGCCCTACCTGAATGAGATCAAGATGGCTGAAGCGAGTCTCGATGGCGGTGTAGTTGCGCCACTTTAGCTTGCTCACCACCTCGCCGTCGGGCAGAATGTAGACACGTGCAAAGGAAGTGGACGGATCGATGAGAAGCTGTTGAGTGGCGGTGAGGGTGGCAGAGGAGGAATTGGCTGCCTCGGCCAGACTGCCACTGCTGATGCTCTTGCTTTCAGCTGGACATAGAAGGTTCGAGAGAAGAAGCAAACAGATCAGCAGAAAACTGATGAGAAGGGATTTGGTGGAGGTGATGGTGGGCGACTTGAGGGGACAGGTTGAGTCAAACATTGAGGAATGCTTTGAAGGGTGGTTGTAATGTGAGATTTGTAAAAAAGCAGTCTGAGCTGACATACTGTTGGGCTGTCTGGTAACGCTGTGAGATGGCCTACTTTTATTTTGACAGACAGGCAATGCAGGTGTAAAGGGGTTGTCACTGCTGAACGAGTGAATGTCAATTGACAAGAGAGAGAAAGAATATTTGATTGCAAGTGTGAGGCAATCTGGTAGAGATCAAATTGAAGGCAAATTATTCCAGCTAATTCAGGCAATTTGTTTGGTGATGATGCTTCGGTGATAGTAAATGTCACTCTGGCAGTGAGATTACACAACGTGCCAATTTATAGTCTTCTTCGCCCGGCACTGGCACATGCACACATGTGACCGCTGCAAGTGATGTCAGCACTGCTGTTGCTGCTGCAACTTTGAACGTTACCGAAGCGAAACGCCAGAAAACAGCTGAAAAGGTGTTGCTGACTAGGATGATGATAAAGCTGATGGTGGTGGTGGTGAATTTGGCGCCAAGTCGGTGTACTTCTTCAGCCCCTGCTGTTGCTGTTGCTGCTGCTGCTTAGAATGGCTCTGGACATTTGGCGCTCGGCGAACTTTTTCGGTTTCGACAGAGAGCGGCGGCGGGTTCAGACAGCAGCGACAGCGACGGCGGCAGCACAAAGAGTGAAAGCGAAAGCGAAAGAGAGCTCGAAGTATGCTCGAAGAAATGGCAGCGGTGGCCTACCGCTGTGGTCTACCGGTGCGTTAGCTAGCTGTAAGTGCCAGTGTGTGTGAGAGAGTGAGTTAGTGTCTCTGTTCAGTCCTGCGCCCAGATCGGCCGGCTTTTTCTTCGCAAAGTGGCGTGATACGTCAGCAAGCGAGTGTGTGAGAGTGTGTTCGGCGTCAAGGGTGGCGTGATCGAATCGGTGTCTGCGCCCAGGCACCACACTGCAGTGGTAGTAGTCAGTTCGGGGAGGACAAACAGTGCAAAACCTCCTTCGCTGTACAGTTCCGCCGTACAGTACTGACTCAGTGGCTGCTGACTTGATATACTTCTCCGCAGTCTGAAGATTGGCGGAGGTTTGAACTTCACTTGTGTGCTTGGAAAACGCTTGGTTGCCTTTGTGGAATCTTCCACTGTTTTCTCCTTTTTCTTCTTCTTCTGTCTCCTGTCGCTGCCAAATTGTGAAAATTTTTAAAATAATACCTTTGTAGAGGCTAAAAGGAAGCACTGTGAGAGCTAATAGACTGTACGGCTAATTCGTTTTCAATCTCCTTTAAAAATAGCAAACGTCAACGTCGGTAGATGGGGGAAATGTGTTGATGACAATAGAATCGTGGTTGCCGATGAGATACCCGGGGAAGAGTGGTGGTGATAGTGCTGGTGGCAGTGTCGGTGTACTGGTCTACACTCTGGTGATTGTCGTGACGATACACTTCGGTGCCCGTACACTCCACGGCTCGAACCGCTCATCTTGCGCATAATTCAAAAGGGCTCCTGCTCGGAAATGCACGTGAGAAGAGGTGGTGGTGGTGGTGGTGGTGACGGCGGAGATCATGAGCGGATAGTGAATACACAGACGATGACGGCAGTGAGAGTGAGAGAATTAGATGGAGTTAAGCAGTGCAAAACAACAGGGGATTACCGCGTCGATTGCGAGTAGGTGGCGGGGAAAGGGAAAGATCCCGTCTGTGTTGTGACAAATGCTCTTCCGATAAGACCAACTGAAGGTGTAGATGTGTGTGATTGTTTATTTATAGTCAAGTGATGATGACAAAAAGGCCAAAGGCATCTCCCGATGATGATGACGCAGCATCACATTCTCCAACCAACTCACAGTGGTCACTGAGATGGTCATCCTCTCAAACAGCACCGACCACTATTTGTTCGATCGAGCAAACACAGGAGACGGGCACACAGAGGACAGAGTAGCTAAAAGTACAAATAAAATGGAAGACGCAGTGGCCAGTGGGAGGAGAGAGCTGTCACTTGCAGGAGAACTTCAGTGCGCTTCACTGAACTTCCCCGCCGATCGGTCTGTGTGTGTGCGTGTGCCATTTGGAGACAACGGTGGAGGGGAAACCGACATGACCAGACTGGATGACTTCCCCTGCTCCCAGATACGCTTGAAACAGTGCACATTTACTTGGATTCGAAAAGGCAATTACTTGCACTCTTACTATTGACCAGCAAGTTTAGAGAAAAGGGAATCTTGAAATGACCATCATGGTGCGATCACCACCGCCACCACTATAACACTCATTTGGCAAACTAATTAACCCAGAAACAAAATCGAGCTAATATACTACAAAATTGCTAGTATCAAAGCCGAAAAATTGAAGTTTGATAAGTTTTTCAATGTGAATAGTAGTCAACGTTGTTTGAGAAACTTTACATTCGTCCTTTTATTTTGGAAAAGGTGTGTCAAAAGAAAAGTAGACCAGTCGTCTATTTTTTCTGCTGGCGCAGAGCCTGCTCCATCTGAACCAGCTCTTCACGGGTCTTGTTTCCCTTGCGGGCGAATCGCATGTTTCGAAGAAGCTTCTGGTCGACCTAAAGGTAAAAGAAATTGTGTGAGTTGGTAAAAATCAAGGGTAGAAAGCTGAGGATCAAAGAACTTACTCCCTCCCACGATTGAGTGCGGAACTTCTTTGGACGGTGGATGCCGTTCCTGTGGTCCTTTCGGTCTGAAAAAAAGTGGTAAAGTTGGTCAAAACAGTCCCCCTCAAGTGTCCGGATTTACTTACTCTGGTTGTGGTTGGTGTGATTCTTGGACTTGGCCATTTTAGTGGTGTTTGGTTGACGATGGAAGAAGACGCAACGTGAATCAAACAAAACACACCGGAAAAAGTGAACGAGAAATACACGCGCTGGCGGCTAAATCGACTTGGACAACAGACATCGACCTGAGTGCAAATAGCAATTCGCATAGCTGACAATGCAGAATCCTTAAAACTAGCCATACCGTCTTGATAATTGATCTATTTATTAAGAATAAAGTAGCAGTAATACTAATCAATTTATTTTTGCTCAAAATGAATAGTTTTAAGCCAGAATAAGTCTTCAAAAATCTAAATTCTGTCAGTTTTCCTCAATTTGCATTTAATCACGTAGTATCTGAATGGGCCATCGGCCATTAACTTTTTATTTTTTTTGTGGTGAAGAGAACTGCTTTGTGTTTGGCTCAAAGCATTCTCTGGATTTGGCAGGTCGATCAACTTGTTTGTTGATTTTCCTCATCTTTCACCAAGATAATCACCGCTTTTCACCGACTAATTCACGTGGACACTCTTCCACGGGTACCAATTAATATATTTTCACTCGTCTGAAATAAAACACAACACAAGAGAGCCGAGATGCAAAATACCGGGTAAGTTTGTAGTGGTGTTTTCTTTTATGTTAATTTTGAAATTGACGATTAACCAAACTTGCAGATACGGTAACTACGGTGCCTCTGGCTATTATTCCACTCCACCTGGGGCCAGTGCACCACCTCCGGCTGCTCCACCAGCTGTTCCGTCGTATGGCACCGCTGCCCCTTATGGATCATCCTACCCACCGCCGCCACCGGCGCCGGGGGCAAACGATGCTTACTCTTCGTACAGCACAGCCCAGCCGCCCTATGGTAAGATGAAAAAGCTGGTTTTTGTTTTAGGTTTTTCATATTACCACTTTTTTGCAGATGCCAAGGGACAATCTTCGAACTACTACCAGCAGCCTCCACCTGCTGCCGCTCCAAGTGCGCCGCCATCCACTGGATACTCAAGCGACACTTATGGCTCATCGAATTACTACCAGTCTCAAGCCGGAGCTCAACCACCTGCTCCTGGCGGTGCAGGAGCGCCGCCGCCACCAGCATACGGTGGCTATGGGGCTCCTCCACCGGCCCCCAACTCGCAAGCTGGATGGCAAGGTGGCCCTCCCGCCGGACCGCCGGGTGGAGGCTACAATGGCAACGGAGCTGCTCCAGGTGGTGGCGGTGGCTACGGTAACTACGGCAACGGCATGAGAAGCGGCCCACCTGGAGGAGGACCCCCTGGTGGACCTGGAGGACCTCCGCCCGGAGGTCCTGGAAATTTCAGGTACGAGCCTAACTTTGTTTCCTTTATTCGGTCCACTCACGAGTCAATCTATGCAAACAATTGAACACTGTGGTGAACATCGCAAGCAAATTTCTGCTTGGTAATGACACAAGGTGTAACCAAGGGTGGTATTTAGGGTATATTGACCATACTAAACGGCATCTAATGAGCATCTTGACCCTCTTGTGTATCTAAAAAGGGGTCAAATGTAATTTATTCTAGTGTGACCTAACCTTCTTAAGCTTGAGGTGTCTGAGCAGTTCCAAAAGTGCTTGTACACGGTGGTGATTAACTTATGCACAACGATTTGCGTTACCAGCTGTTTGTGTACTCAAGGTAATTATTGCATCTATTGATGCAGTTTGTTGTAATGCCTGCACCTTTTCGCTTCACAGTAACCGATGTTTTTATTTTCACAGTACATTTAATTGGTGTTAATAGTTATGATGAACTGACATTAATCGGTGTTGATGATGTACAACAACTATGTTGCAGCGCAGATGCAACCACAAAGTGAAGATTTACAGACAAGTGTATTCAAGTTCAGGCAAAGTTCTATCCGGTACAAGCTGAAGCTGTTGTGTCAATTGCCAAATTGTGTTCTCGACGTCATGTGACAACTTCTCAATTGCGTTCAAGGTGGTTCAAATGCAGTCATACGGGAGTGACTTATGAACATTGCGTGTCAACCAGATCAAAGGGAGAGAAAACAAAACATTGCCAAACTGCGGAAATCAGTACATACCTGTACCAGTGTCAATCGAGCCTCGATAAATGGAGGTCTCCAGTGTTTGCGAAACTGCTTCAAAGACCGCCTAAGCCACACACTTCACACTACACTTGCATAAGTATCGCACGAGTTTCTCAGCTAACCGAAACCTTTTTCTGTTTTCTTCTCTCTCTCTCTCCCAAAATAACGGTGTAAATTGTACAGAGGTGGTCCAGGAGGCCCTCCCGGAGGTGGTTACAAAGGTAAACCTGGTATTATGTTTTATATACTTTCAGTTTAACTTTTGCAATTCGCTATTTGCAAAAATCATTTTTGGTAGCACGTTTTAATGTTTATAAGACTGTTGTGTTGTTACACACGCACACACAAACTCGCATTCATTGCTGCGTTATTTGGCACTTTGATTATATCACACGTACTGTGATTGACTCTATATTGACTCACAAAAAAGTGCAGAGTATTGGGTTTTGTTGTATTGGCGAGTTCACAGTTATTTGAGTTTTTTAAACTGCTATGTGCTTCTCTCGGTTAGAGAGTAAAGCCAAAAACTGTTATCGGGGGGCTAAACTGGCAACTTGCTGCCATTTGTTATACTATCGAGTCATCATTGTTATTGTTAGCGGGTATTTTTTGCATGGTTTAGTTTTGGTATTTTCGGGTTCAAAGTTCATGACTGACCTTTTATTTTTCTGTTCCTTTAAGGTGGACTTAGTGGTCCTGGAAGCTATGGCAACTCGAACAGTGGACCTCCTGGTAAGTGATGATCTGGACAAGAAAAAATCATACTGGGATTTTACAATTTTTTATTTGTAGAATCGGACACTATCTTTATTGCCGGAATGCCTCCAGAAACTACTGAAGAACAGCTTTCAACGCATTTTGGCTCTATCGGTCTTATTAAGGTAATAACACTTCAGATTTACTAGTGCAGTTTACTTAATAGTTTTGCTCCTCATTAGATGGACAAGCATACTAAGCGACATAAAATTTGGATCTACCGCGATAAGGCCACCGGCGAAGGAAAGGGCGAGGCTACTTTGACATATGAAGACCCTCCAACTGCCAAGTCGGCCATTAGTTGGTTCAACGGCAAGGAGCTACCTGGTACTGGCAAGATTCTCTCGGTCGAGTTTGCACAGCGCAAAACACCAATGGGCGGCGATCGAGGTGGCCGTGGCGGCGGCGGGGGTGGCTTCCGTAATGGAGGTCGCGGAGGAGGAGGAGGAGGCTTTGACGGTGGACGTGGTGGTGGTGGAGGTGGAGGACGCGGCGGTCGAGGTGGCTATGACGGCGGCCGAGACAGCGGCAGCTATGGACGCCAAGGAGACTGGAGGTATGTATGGCTCATTTATTTTATTTCAAAGTTGATTAAACTGTAACTTTCTACTGTTTTCTAGATGCGTCGTGCCCACCTGTGGCAACAACAACTTTTCATGGCGAAATGAATGCAACCGATGCAGGGCTCCGCGTCCTGATGACGCCGGCGGACACGATGATGATGGAGACCGACGAGGCCCACCCGGAGATCGTCGTGGAGGACCCGGCATGGGCGGTCCCCCAGGAATGGACCGACGCAGGGGTGGCCCACCCGGCATGGGAGGCCCAGGTGGCCCTAGAGGAGGCCCACCGATGGGTGATCGACCGCCTCGTGGTGGCCCAGGCGATCGGGGCGGTTTCCGCGGCGGTTTTCGAGGTGGTCGTGGTGGTGGCGGCCCAATGCGAGGGTAGGTTTCAGCTTTAAATAGTCACACTCAATGAGCTAATCATGACTACTTTTCCCACAGTGATTACGGTGATCGACGACCTCGTCCATATTAATGAGAAGAGTGTGCTCTCCACACCTCCTTTCAGGAGCAGTCAGCAGACCAAATCACACATCCACACACCACCCACTCATCGGCAGATGCTCATTTGGAAAACTTCTTTTTGTCAATCCTATTATTTAGCTTGCCTCAACCANCGATTACGGTGATCGACGACCTCGTCCATATTAATGAGAAGAGTGTGCTCTCCACACCTCCCTTCAGGAGCAGTCAGCAGACCAAATCACACATCCACACACCACCCACTCATCGGCAGATGCTCATTTGGAAAACTTCTTTTTGTCAATCCTATTATTTAGCTTGCCTCAACCACCCCATTAGTGTCGTTTGAGGGAGTCCTCGAAAATCAGAGATTGAGAACGCATATTTCGCAAATTCTTACACACTTCTCCTTTTACTTACTTTACCCAATGTAATGGTAGATTAATTGATACCAGTAAACTTGCGCAACACTTTGAATCTAGGTGAACTTGGGCGTCGGATGTGCTCCTGTGGCAATCTGGTGCACTGTATTAGCCCAGTCACAGTTCTTCAGCAGCAGCTCATGCCTGCCTGCCTTTCCTGACGTCTCAATGTGCGTCAACTGGAAAAGACTGAAGAGAGTTGGTTGACGACGACAAAAGTTGGCAAGCACGACAATACTGCTGCCGCTGTACCATTTCATTCATCGTTTCGCTCCGCCACAAACACCGAGTCTACAGTCGAGTAAAGTGGGGCGGATGAGCTAATTAAAGAAAAGCCAAGCGGATTCAGGTCTGCAGTTCTCTCGTATTGGCCAATTTTTTTAGTTGTGGTGACGACGACGACGATGAGGAGGAGGATGAGGAGGATGATGACGAGTTTGCTGTGCCGTTGGTGAGCTCATTTGCTCATTTGTTCGCTTTTAGTTTTGCTGTTGCCAGTGGGAATTGAACGAATTTGAAGTGCTGATGATCTTGGCAGTGGCAGTTTCTTTGCCAGAGCAGTAGCACCACGATCACCATCGACCACGTTTATTTCTGAGGCACTGCTTTAGACCAGCCTCGGCCAGTGACCACCACTTGTCATCAGTGACACCTTCAGCCTCATCATGGCGCCATCACCGTCGAGCGGCATTGGTGAGTACCACTGCCACTATCCTTTAAATTGGCGAACCAGTTTGCTCTACAGCAAGCTTGTTTTTTCTATTCAGTCTGTCCATTTTTAATACTGGCACAGACAATGCACACAATGACTCGTCTGATGCGGTTGTTTTTGTTGTTGTTCTTGGACTGCAGCTTCAGTCTTCGGGGAAGAATGTGCGTGGGTGTGACTGCTCTCCGCCGTCGGCAACAGAAAACTCACTGGCTAACAAGGCCCATGTGCACTGCTGACAGTGTCAGAGTGAAGAACTCGTTGCCGTTGTCCTCGCCGTCATCACAGTGCGCCCACTGCCCACTTCGTCTCTGTCGGTCTTTCTAATTGGCGCTAAATAAGACAGAAAGACGGACATGCAGTTCCGTTCGCTGTTCAATTGTGAATAGTGTTATTCACCTCTGAAGCTGATTTCGTTGCAATTCAATTGCCACTTTGAGCACACCTCAAAGTAGAGCATGTTTTGATGTGATGACTGATGATGTGATGAGAGATAATGGAATTCGGAGAAAGAGATTCAGGAGTTGAGACTGATGAAAATCGAAGAGAACGATGGACACTTTGACCGGTCGGCGTCGCCACCGTCAGTATTTTTTGCCGACCAGTTTTTTGTTTACGTTTTTGCTGATGCACTGCAGCAGCGGCAGCCGCAGCTGGTACGTCCAGTTCTTTTGCTGTCAGGCAGATGATCAAATCTGCATCAAAGGAGAGAAGGAGAGAGAGAGAAAGAGAAAATGCAGATAGGAAGCAGCTGCAGCTGAGTGCGAAGATAAAGAAGAAGTAGTAGAAGAAAGGATGTCGTTGTGATCAAGTGGGGGACACACTTCCAGTGTCCACCAGGTCTTCTGTTCGAGAGCACAACACCGCCCGATAAACGCAGAGAACACAGCAACTTCCACGACAACAATCACCTCTTTTGTCTCCCCTCTGCCGACTGCAATTAAGGTGCCACCGAGTGTTGTTTCATTGCCAAGGCGACCACCACACAATCTCACCTCCAGGTGATGCTCAATCTTTAAAAAAGTAGTTGTGATTGCAATCGTAAAAGAAGATATTTTATTATTTCAGCACACTTTTTGTGGTCATCTTTGACTTGTGATTTCAACACCATTCTTACAAACGCTCAAACGTTCGTCATTCTACCCAACGTCCATTGTAGTTGATCAAGCCAAGTGCTAAGGAAACAAAATAAGAAAGAAACAAACTCGTCCATTTGCGCTCTCAACTTAGCAGCTTCTATTCTGGTTGCTTTACCTTGTGATATCTCGTGGTGCTTCGATTCTATTGTTCGCTTAGATAACTACGACTTAGCTTTTTGGGTAACTTTACCTTTTTTTGTCGCTAAGCATCTGTAAACTAACCATGACCGCTTTTCTTCGCAGGCTCACCCTTTTAATCAAACTAAAGCCAACCTTCATTGCTTGATTGCTTTAATTTCGCTGAATCTTTCTGCTCAACTATTGCCATTACTTATCAGTTTGCCAGTTGTTTCCTCGTTTGATGAATCAATCACCACAATGGATGATTTAGGTATGTCTGTGCTTTTTAAAATTACAGTTCAAAACATTGCTTTTCAAAATCAGTTTGTGAATTGACATTGCGGAACACCCTTTGATTTGATTTGTTCACTTCCTTGTACTTGCCTGCATTTCTCGTTACTATCCGGTTAATTTGAAAGGATTTGCGTTTAGGTCTTTTTGATGACGATATAAAAACGCCTGTTGCTTTTTCGAGCACGATCTCGTTTTCTCGTTTTGTTTACACTGCGATCAAATTGTGTCAATTTATACTGCAAACAAAACTTTATTTTCGTGCTTTTTCTTGTCATTTCTGCAACTTCCTTCAACTGATCCTTCTCCAACAACAACAGTGAACAGTCAAACAGATTTTCCATTTGAAAATGTTGAGTTTCTGTTCCTCTCCAGTCCCCAGTAGTACGTATTTCAGAGCAATATTTCACTGCAGATTAGCCAAACTGGCGCACTCTTTACTTCTGCCTGTGTTGTTGACTCACTTCCGCGACGGCGAATTCTCTCTTTGATATGAGCTCAAAAGAAACAAAAAGAAATATTAAAATAGCCTTTCTATTTCTTGTCCTTTCCCTTTCCCTTTGCCTGTTTCTAATTCTAATTAATTCCATCATTTTCCATCCGCCACTAATGAATTGCCACGCTTTCTCGTTAGTTAGAGCACTAAAGAGAACTAAGCCACAGATGAAGCTGATCTGTTGTCTTCATCTTTTCCGTTCTTCTTTGCTTCTGCTGTCTGGTTGTGTTTTTTTGCTAATCTTTGCTCATGTAGGCGACGAGAGGAGGGAGGAGGATTGCTCATTCGGTGGGCGCCATCTCCGCTTCTTTCGTCTCTTGGAGCAGTGCCCAGTTGATGGTGGTGGTGATGTGAAAGTCGGTTTTTGTCGATTTGAAGGCGAGTGTGACACTCTCTGTGACACTGTTTTCCTCCACTCATTGACGCTGCTTTCACTTCATTCATCACTTCGATCCGGTGACACTTGTCAAACTCTGTAAGTGTGTGTTCAAAAAAGGAGGGCAGACGTGTTTTGACCACCTTAATTCTCCGTGGATGATGGCACTGCTGGCGCAATTTACGTCTCTGCTTTTTTCGTGAAGCAGCACAGGATGTGTGTGCTCTCTTACTGGCACTCCATTTCTTTTTCAGTTTTCAGTTGATTACTTAATTAGTTCGCACGCAGCAAAGCTTACAGAGTTTGTCTGTGATTAATTTGCTCTTGAGGGCGCCAATTAAAGAGGGGAGAGATCACTACCGCTGTACAGCGACCACACACCCCCGTTCATTCAATTTAGATCTCACAAACTGGCTCTCTCTCCTTCTCCTCCTTGGCTTTTGTCTTCCTTATTAGGTCGATATCGTCCTTTAAGGCAATTTACAGCTTGGTGGCCCAAGTGCAGCTATTTTCGGTTTGCCACTCATTCACCAATTGGCCTGTGTGTAAGTGCCGATTGAAGTTGTCTTTGAAGACTGAAGACTTTTGCAGCTTCTGTGGCAGCTGCTTTTGCGGTACATTTGCACATGAGACATTTTAAATATAGCATGTAGGTGCCATCTTTGAGGATAGTAAAGCTTTGCAGCAGCAGCAGCTATTAGCTGTCAAATGGTGCGACGATGGTCGTTTTGTGTCTGCCATCTCTGTCTGCTTTTCTTCCTTCCTTCCTTTCTTTCTTTCTTTCTGTCCCTCATGATCGGAAGGTTCGTCTGAGGGATTTATTGTGCAGTTGAAAAGCTATTGCTGTAGTATGCTAATTGTTGCCGCTGCCGCCGCCACCTTCCGCCCAGTTTCCGCCCCCGCTCGTCTTTGCTGTTCTACCTCCCCACCAGAGGAGCTCCCTTTCTGTTTACATGTCTGCCGTCACTTTTTCTGTTTTCGTTCCGCGTGCAGTACCGGCTCTTCTTCTTTTTTCCCCGTATTATTACTCTACGGCGTTGGCAACATGTGCGCGTTTGACTCTCTGCTGTGCTGTAGTGAACACACTGACTTGCCTTTGTTCGCCACCTATACTCCTTTTTAAGGCGATAATGGCGGCAGTAGCGGCGGCGGAGATGTCTGTGTGCGCTCGGCGTCGACGTCCTATCAGGTCACTCTATCTTAGGCCTTACCCATTTAATCACAGCCTACTATCTTTGCATCTGAGGATGTCTTTCTCTGTTGATTTGTCTTGATCAAAATGAAAAACTGCTGCTGCAGTGTTTGCACCTGTCAATCAGCGAAGACCTGCTCATAAATCGCACCACCAAGTGGTGATGTCACACTT